CCTCCTTTCCGCCTCATGGTTTTCAGAATTCATTTGTGTTATGTACTGAGTTGAATAGGATCCAAAATGCAGCAGTCTGATTGGTCCTAGAATAATAGGATTCAGAATGCAGCTGCCTGATTGGTCCACAGGAGCCACCCAATCCAGCTCCAGGTGGAAGTGAATCCTCAACCTGATTGGCCTACAGGAGAATCCTGGAATTAGCCAATCATGTGGGGCCCATTGTGTAAATAATGTATATAAAGCAGACATTCTGGGGGAACTTCCATTCCTCCTCACCACTATGAGCTGAATAAAGAGCATTAAATTCACTCTCGACTAAGAGTATATTTAAATTTGAATATCATAGCATTTATACATTTTCCATTTCACTCATTCAGAATATCACAATTTTTCAATAAAAATAAAAGGGTAGTGACCATTATAATTACAAGTCTTCTTATAACCCTGCTAGTGTTGTTAATGGCTTACAATAGTCCTTCAAATATTGTATGCATTTACTCCAGTCTTTCGGGAAAGCTTGATCACGTTGGTTTTGGATTTTTCCCGTCAGCTTCGCTAATTCCACAAAGTCCATTATCTTCATCCGCCCCTCTTCTTTTGTTGGTATTTCTTGTTGTTTCCATTTTGGGGCTAAAAGGATTCTTGCTGCAGTTGTTGTACATATAAATTGTTTTTTTAAATTTCCCTTTGGTATCATTTCACCCACTATACCCAATAAAAATGCTTCCAGCTTTTTAACAAAGGTGTAGTTATACATTTGGGACGCGGGTGGCACTGTGGTCTAAACCACAGAGCCTAGGGCTTACCGATCAGAAGGTTGGCAGTTCAAATCCCCGTGATGGGGTGAGCTCCCGTTGTTCAGTCCCAGCTCCTGCCAACCTAGCAGTTCAAAAGCACATAAAAGTGCAAGTAGATAAATAGGTACCGCTCCGCTGGGAAGGTAAACAGTGTTTTTGTGCGCTGCTCTGGTTCGCCAGAAGCGGCTTAGTCATGCTGGCCACATGACCCGGAAGCTGTACACCGGCTCCCTCAGCCAGTAAAGCGAGATGAGCGTCACAACCCCAGAGTCGGCCACGACTGGACCTAATGCTCAGGGGTCCCTTTACTTATACATTAGGGACGCAGGTGGCGCTGTGGTCTAAACCAGTGAGCCTAGGGCTTGCCGATCGGAAGGTCGGTGGTTCGAATCCCCGGGACAGGGTGAGCTCCCATTGTTCGGTCTCAGCTCCTGTCAACCTAGCAGTTTGAAAGCACGCCAAAAAAGTGCAAGTAGATAAATAGGTACCTTCCAGCGGGAATGTTAAATGGTGTTTCCGTGCGCTGCTCCGGTTTTGCCAGAAGCAGCTTAGTCATGCTGGCCACATGACCCAGAAAAATGCGGATAAACGCCAGCTCCCTCGGACAGTAAAGCGAAATGAGCACTGCAACCCAGAGTCGTTTGCGACTGGACTTAACGGTCAGGGGTCCTTTACCTTTTTTTACTTATACATTTTCTTTAACACATTATATATCATTTCCCAATATGCTTCCCCCTTATTACAAGTCCACCGCATATGTCATGTTTATTTCTAACTGATGAGATGCTCAACCCTTGCGGCATCCACGAAGGACGGGGGAGAAGCTTGATTTTGTTCAGGTTTTGATTCAGAAAAGTACCTCCTTTTCACTTCTTGAACCAATACACGGACTGCGACACTGTTATCCATCAAACTTCACACATCTTCAAATTCCGCAATATAGTTATTGTTATGTACTGAAGTTCTCACCTGGGCCAGCAGGGGGATACTGTAGATAGTTCAGGTCCAAATATGCAAATAAGGGATCAAAAGTGACGTTCAGTGATTGGATAGTTACAGAAAGTTGTTACAGTTACATTGTACTGGAGCTCTATACAAGCAGGCTGGCTGAACCCTTCAGTTCAGTTCTGTTCTGGCCTATGAATAAACAAGAGCTGTTTGAAGAATCGCTGTGTTGTCTGATATGTTCACCCACAACTTAACAGTTATCTATTTATCTGCATATTTAACTATCTATGTGGGAGAAGTGTATGTAAAAATGCATATATTCGTGAAAATAACACGGGGAAGAGGGAGAAACATGTGCGGGGAAATTGTTTGCAGAAAAAAGTGCTTGTTAGTCAAAAGCGAAAGCAAAATATGTTTATCCAGAGAAATTTGCAACGAGTTGCTGGTGAATTTTTTTAAAATGGAAATTGCTGCATAAATGTGGAGAACTGAAGGGGGTTATTGGGTTCTTTTGATTTTTATTTTGATTATGTATTTTGAGGTTTTATATTCTGATTTTATCCTGTGAACTGTCCTGAGACCTGTGGGTATAGGATGGTATATAAAAGTGATCATTATTATTAGTGCTTTTTTCCCTAGGGGGACACAGGGGGACGCATACCCCTAAACATTTTGTTAATCTAAGTTTGGCCTCATTGAGGGGCAGTATTTCAATATGAGTAGGGAATTGAGAGTACCCTGAACATTTTTTTAAAGAAAAAAGCACTATTATTATTATTATTATTAGCCAAGAAAAACCAAAATTGATGGATTTGTCTTTCCTCTGGTTTTCTCCATCCCTTTTAACCTTATTACTAGTGACCAGGGCCAGATTTAGGTTTGATGAGGCCCTCAGCTACTGAAGGTAATGGGGCCCTTTATATGTCCAGCTGTCCTTTGTCAACAACAAATTTTCGCTGTTTTT